ACTTAAGCTAGGTTGGTACGATAGAAAAATGGAAGAATGAAAAGTTAGAAGAATAGATAAAACATTATGTTTGGTAAGGAAGAAAAATAAGAAGGATGAAAAAGTGAATGAATGAACTTTCATTCCAACTCATCAAAATCAATTCCTCCAAAATTGAAAGGAAAGTGAATGAAAAGTTAATTATTTGTGTTAAAATGTATCTTATTTGTCTATATATACTTTGATATATACATATATATTATATTTATCAATTATATATTATGTATACATTAATTTTTTGTAGAAATACAATGGTGAATTTTTAAAAAAAAATTAAAAATTTAACAATTAAAAACAAAAAATAATTTTTTTTTTCATCTTACAAAACACAAAAAAATTAATCATTTTTATTTTTTATCCATCCTGTCAAATATAAAAAAAAGAAAGTGTGTCATTATTATGCTTCTTTCTTAAAAGATATAAAGCGTATTTTTCATCCTTCTCACTCCCTATTTTTCTTACCAAACGAAACATTAGAGTTAAGCCAACTCCCAATTGAGAGTAGCATTGTTGCATACCAAACAAGTTCATTATAAATGGTTACATACCCGATGAGGCAACTCAGCACACTATGAGTCATTTTGGTCACACATTTTATTATTATATATTTGAAAATAGTTGGATCGGAGTGAAAAAAATATGTAGACCCCACAATATAACGTGAAACCAGATGCACTTTGAGAACATTATCTTTTGTCTAATGAAGTATTTGATTTGGGAGTTGACCATAGGACCCAAAAAAAATAATTTTGGTATCATATTTTTATTTATAATATTTGTGATTATTTTTATCATATTTATAGGTACTTTTATTATTGTTGTAGTATCTAAAAAAATAATAAAAATAATTACCACAATATTGATAAAAACATTTATAAGTGTGATAAAAATATACACAAATATGATAAAATATCCACAAAAATAATAATTTTTTTTGTATAAAAGAAACGTGATAAAAATACTCATAATATTGGTAAAAATACCCATAAAAAATTTAAATCACTCACAAAAATAATAAATTTTTTACTTATAAAATGATCCATAAAAAATATAAAAGGGCTCTTTAAAAATAGTAAATTTTAGAATATGATACTGGCTGTCTTTTGTCCACACCATAGTCAAATGCTTTGATTTGATGTAAGGACAAATTAGTAATTTAATTCTAACCTCAATTCACACATTTGAATAATCTCATGTTCATGGGGACTTTTTCAAATGGGCCCGGATTTCTATCCGCTCCAAGAGCAAAGTGGGCCCCTGACCTTTGTTTTACCCAATCCCACATAGATATCCGACCGTATCCCAATTCCGCCAACCAAACGGCCCCTCTACATTATGGAACGCCATCTGGTAAACAAACTTCACTCCGATCTGAACATCAACCAACTCAAGCAAGTTCATGCTGTCGTTATCACACATTACCCAAACCTCACACCATTAGTAACGAAGAAGCTCTTGAGTCAATCTTGTGTTGACTATGCTTGCAAGGTGCTTGATCAAATTCCTCAACCAGATCAATCGCTACATAACTCTATCATTTCCACTTACGCCAGACTTTCTTTGAACAAAGAAGCCATACAAGAATTTGTTTCAATGCATCATCAGGATGCCCAGATGGATTGTTACACTATTCCACCAGTTCTCAAGTCTTGTTCCTCGTTGCATGCCAAAGAATTAGGAAAACAGGTTCATTGTTTGGTTACTAATTCTGGGTTCGGTTCCAATGTCTATATTCAGACTTCTTTGGTTGATTTCTATGCCAAAATTGGAGATGTAAACTCTGCTAAGCGGATTTTTGATGGGATTTTGATTAAAGATCCGATTTGTTATAACTGTTTGATATCTGGATATTCAAAATCTGGGGATGTTTCAACAGCTAGAAAGCTTTTCGATGAGTTAAGTGAGAAGACCATTGTTTCTTGGAATGCTATGCTTTCATGCTACGCCCATAATGGGGATTATCTTGAGGGTTTTAGAATTTTTGAAAGAATGCAGGTGGAGAATTTTCGTGTTGATGAATTTACTGTGGTGACTGTGCTTTCTATATGCGCTAAACTTGGGAATTTGAATATGGGTTTGAGAGTTAAGAAGTTTATCGATGATAACAAATTGTGTTCTAATATGATAGTTTCAACTGCTTTGTTGGAAATGTATGTGAAATGTGGGGCGGTGGATGAAGCACGTCATGAATTTGATAGGATGGTAGAAAGGGATGTGGTTTGCTGGAGTTCTATGATTGCCGGTTATGCTCAAAATGGGAGATCAAGTGAAGCATTAGAGCTTTTTGAACAAATGAGAAGTGAACAAAGTAAGCCTAATGATGTCACGCATGTGAGTATTCTATCTGCTTGTGCTCAATTGGGTTCAGTGGAAGCTGGTGAGCACATTGGCAGCTATGTGGAGGGCCTCGGTTTAGATTCAAATGCTTATGTGGCCACTGCACTTTTGGTTATGTATTCCAAGTGTGGAAATATAGGAAAAGCTCGTCAAGTTTTTGAAAGGATGCCCCAGAAAGACGTTGTTGCTTGGAACTCAATGATTATGGGGCTGGCAATAAATGGATTTGCAGAGGATGCCATTGCTATTTATGATAAGATGAGAAAAATTGAAGTTAAACCAGATGATATCACTTTTGTTGGGCTGCTAACAGCCTGCGTGCATGCAGGACTTCTGGAACTGGGTCTTGAGTTCTTCAGAACCATGAGAGTGGAACATATGATTTCACCCAAGATAGAGCACTATGCTTGTATTGTAGACCTTTTTTGCCGTTCGGGGAGACTAAAACAAGCTTATGATTTTGTAGGCCAGATGGAAGTTGAACCCAATGCTGTGATATGGGGCATTTTATTGAGTGCAAGCAGGATTCACTTGAATGTAGAGCTTGCAGAGATCTCGGTCAACAAATTACTAGAGCTAGAACCAGAAAATTCTGGAAACTATGTCCTTCTTTCTAATATCTATGCCAGTGTGGGCAGATGGCAAGAAGCCCTGAAGATGCGGTGCTTGATGCAAAGCAAGGGGTTACAGAAAACAGCTGCCTACAGTTGGATAGATTTGGAAAATAAGGTGCATAAATTTTTAGTTGGAGACACATCCCACCCTAGATCCCATGATGTCTACAGCGCTGTGGAGGATTTGGCATTGCATGCAGCTTGGCTTACTTATGATTTTGACTCAGAATTACTGTTTTCATGAGAGGCTTGGAACCAGGATATGCCTGCCAATGCAGGTGGTAAATTTTTTGATGTTTGTTAGTGGACAGCCTTTGTTACTGCTGGCATAATCCAATAAGATCTAACAGCTAGGAATGTTGTATGATTAACCTGTCAAGCAAAAGAAATACCTTCTTCAACTAAGTGAGGTATTTGGCTTCTAAGACCATGGATTATGATATTTGAAGCTGATAAATTTTTCGTGCATGTTGCACTAATCTGATAAACTGTGAGTTCAACGGACATTCTGGAGCATAGTAAATTCATTAACAATAGCGGCGAACATTATGGGGGCTATGAAGAGGAACCAGCTCAGATGCTAAATATCAAAGTACAGAATTAGTTTTGATGGAACTTTTCTGCAAATCCCTCGATTGCCACTTAGTCTGAGTGTTTTTGCATGTATCAGCAAGGTGATTGATGCCAACAGCGGATTTGCACCAATTGCATGTGGTGATGAAGGAAAATGTAAACTCTTATATGGACAATATCAAAACTTATGATGACAAATGAGGTACTATCACTCATTCGTTTGAGCTGCTACTAGTATTTTGTTGTCAGACTCTTTGAATGCTCAAAAGATTTTTCCATGGGCTAGTCAGTAATTGCGCAAGAAGCGTGGTCATTTCTACTCTGGTGTTGCTGTCACGTAACATGGAGCCATGTTTTCAGACAATTAAAGGCACAACCTGCCAATCCATTTTGGCTGGTGCTAGCTCTCATTCTGGTTGCCTCAGTAGGTTTCACTGCCAATGGTTTCTGGTTTTATCAGGAGGGATTGACCTATATGATGGTTTTGAACCATGCCAAATTGGGTTAAGGAATAGATTTCAAAACTTAATTAGATATTGTAGACTGCATTCTTTATTAAGTAAATAAAATCATATATCTTTTCGTCATCATCTGTCAATACTTGAAACTATCATGAAATTTTATTGTAATCCCCTGCATCCTAATACTTAGGTTTCACAATACTGATACAAAGCCTTTGCTTTCAAACAAGTACGATTCAAGATCCAACCAAATGCTTACGCATGCCGTACATGTTGGCCGACATGCTGTCCTCCTCTGGAGAGGTGAGATGGGTTGGGATTTCGTTATTACAACGCTGTTGCAGAAGAGTCTAAGCCTGTTATCTAGAAGTCACACGGGACACATCCACTTCCCAACGAAAATTATGGTGTGATAAGGTCTGCATCTTAGGTGCATCTATTTCTCTATGACTTGTCAATAACATTGAAAAAATTCATGGATAAGGCAAGGGGAAATTTCTAACCACGTTTTTTTTCTTCCTTTTGACTAGTAGGATAGTTCATATCATGGAAAGGTCACCATTAATGCCAAGTCTACATTGACAAATGAGAATGCTGTAATCCATTTTCTGAGGATGTAGTCCCCAGCTATGTAGTCGTTTGTCTGATATATGTAAGTTTCAAAACTTATTTAGATTCCACATTGGCAGAGGCTCGTCAGACTGTACAAAACTGAGGTTAATTTCAAAAAAAGTAATAACGAATCACCGTCTTAACTATGTGTACAATATGGATTGTAATTATCTATATACCATGGTATGAGATTGACTAGAGTTACTCTAAACATTCCTTTGTGATTTGAAGGGAATAAATAATCTTTGAAGCCCTTCCTTCACATTGATGTGGCTCACTCGTTCTTAGCATTTCAGTTTCACACTTACAGAAACTTTTTAATTGACCTGCCCAACACACGTGCTAGACGAATGATCATATCATATCTTTCACCCATATATTGCGCTTTTACCTTTTCAAAAGCATTTGCCTAACAATGTATGATACATTGTGAGAGTTAAGTTTCCCCTTTTTGTCCAGATTCATATCTCTCTCTCTCTACAAATACGTAAATGTGGGCATAAAAATTCAGTGTTCTCTCTCACCAGATCCTTATCCATAACTATCTGCTCGCTCGACTTTATTGTATAGATATAGTGGTGATCAGTTGTAGCAATCTGTTTTCGATATCTTGCATTCGCAATGGCTAATATGTCTCTAATATGTCTCTTTCTTATGATAGCTTTGTTGTTTGTAAATGTCTCTGAAGCCGAGGAAGAAATAAGGGTGTATGAGCTGAAGAACAGAGAATTCTCCGTGAAGATCACCAACTATGGTGCAACTGTTCTCTCTGTCATTCTCCCTGATAAGCATGGTATAGTCTGTCTCACCTCTTCTTTTTTTCCCCATTAGAATAATGATGAATATTTCATTCTTCTGTTTTCAAATTAAAAAAAAAAAGGGCATTATTGATTTGAGATCTGCTACTTTGGTGCTTCACTGTTCTCTACTCTCTCATTTTTTACCAGGAAAATTTAATGATGTTGTTCTTGGGTATGACTCCATTGAGGGGTACAAGGTCAGTTTTATAAGCTTTCCTTCTCCCTCTCCCACGTCCCCTTCTCTCTCACACAGATACACACAGCAGACAAAATAGACCAAATTAGATTACAAACATTTTTTTTAGCAATACTTGTGATCCAATAGAAGAGTACTGCTACGTTTACCAAATGAATATAAATTGTTGGATCAACGGTTCATATTAATTTTTTTTTTTTTTTTTTTTACGGACTATTGTAGTTTTATCAGTACAGTAAAGCACTTAAGGCCTAACCACTGCGCTTACAATTTTTACACCATCTTTGTAGAATGATTCAACCTACTTTGGAGCCCTAGTTGGACGTGTTGCTAACAGAATTGGAGGGGCTCATTTTACTCTTCATGGGATTCAGTATAAGTTACCAGCTAATGATGGGAATAACACTCTCCATGGTATGTTATATTATAGTAATTTAGTTATAATGAATTTTTAAACTTAAATCCAAAGTTTCTTATAAAAATTCAAGGGTAATTCTACAATATCAGAATAAAAATTGTAGTATCGGACCGAGAAGCACTATTTTTTGAGGTCAAATTACATATTTTAAAGATGAAATTACAATTACTTGAGATAATGGTCGATTATGAGTACCCTCTCATCAGTTGTGACTTTATTTTTAAAAAGTGTAATTTGACCTAAAAAAAAAGTAATAACTTTTATTGCTTTTCCAGTTATAACTTTTGTCTTAAAAATGTGTAACTTGATCCGAAGAAGTAATAAATTTCAGTAATAGTCTTCCTCAAAATTCAAAATCTTGGCTCAATTATAGGAGAGGACTCCAGTGTCAAAAAAAAAAAAAAAAAATTGACACTGTGCCTCCAATTTTGACTATTTTAATAGATATTTTTATAATTTTTGTGGGTTATTTTACAAAAAAAAATAAAATACAATTTTAGTAAGTGATTTACAACCGTATCTTCAAATTTACGATTCCTAATATTTTAGGATTGATTGCAAGGTACCACAAAAGTGGTAAAAACAGTAGTCACAAAAGTGATAAAAATACCTACAAAAATTATAAATAATAGTGCGATATCATTTTTTTTTTTTTTGAGTACCGTAGACTAGTACTCAATTATATCTTGGTTATCAATGATATCAGGTGGTTTCAGAGGATTCAGTGACGTCATATGGACAATGAAAAGCTATAAGAAGGATAGTCATATTACACTCACCTACAACAGTGTTGATGGTGAAGAGGGTATGTTATACATGCCTTTTAGTTCATCTTAGTGGGTTAATTAGTGAACACATGCACATTCATTAATCACATTAATCTGAAATTAAGATTGTCATTCACTAGTTCATATTAAGTTTTTAGAGTAAATAACACTTCAATATGTATCACATATGAATAATACTAGATTGACCAAAAACAAGAATCAAAACTACGGATCAAAATAATGTGATATTTACTATAATCGTGTCGTTCGTCTCATTTTTCACATTTGAAATTTACTTCATCTTTTTTCGTCACGATAATATCACATCATTTGATCTTTGTTTTCGGTACTTTATTCTGGTCAGTTTAACATTACTCATCAAGTGTCCTTGAGAAAATCTGTCACATTGTGTCATGTGTTTGCAATTGTGTAAAGCCATGATTTTTCACAGAACTACTTAACACTGAAATGCTAACAAATTGCCACAGGGTTTCCTGGTGACCTTTCTGTCATGGTAACATACATGTTAATAGAAGGAAACAAGTTAGCCATAAAAATGGAGGCCAAGTCTCTAAACAAGGCCACACCAGTGAACCTAGCTTCACACACCTACTGGAACTTGGGTGGCCACAACAGCGGCGACATCCTCTCGCATACCATTCAGCTTTTTGCCTCCAAGATCACTCCAGTCAATGATGAACTCATCCCCACCGGTGAAATCGCTACTGTGAAGGGAACACCCTATGATTTCCTCCACCCACGCTCGATCAGAAGCAAGTTCAATGACCTTCCCAGTGGTTATGACATAAACTATGTGCTCGATAGTTCGAGCAACAAGCATTTAAAGAAGGTGGCTGTCGTGGAAGAAGGCAAATCGGGGAGAAAGATGGAGCTATGGAGTAATCAGCCTGGTGTTCAGTTTTATACAAGTAATATGTTGAAAGATACTAAGGGAAAAGGTGGGTATGTTTACTCAAAATATGGTGCATTTTGCTTGGAGACACAAGGTTTTCCAGACTCTGTGAATCACCCAAACTTCCCTTCACAGATTGTTAATCCTGGGGAGACTTACAAGCATGTTATGGTTTATAGGTTCACAGCCGACTAGGAAAAAAAAAAGAAAAAGAAAAAGCATTGCCATAATTAATCGATCTTTTTCGACTATTTTTCGGTTGTTGTATGTAGTAGAGGAACAATCTGATTTATCTTTTCGCTTGTTTATGCTTTTCTTTTCTGTTGGTGTTTAATTCAATAAAAGAAATCCATTCTTCATTCAGTTTGGCCAGTATGATTTAGTGTCCTTTACCCTTCTTTTAAGACAATTGCCCCCACATTTTTCGGATTCGTGATTGCAATGCAAGTTTCTGATATGTACAATCATCAACAAACCACGTATATCTGATCAACTAAGATATCTTTAATAAGACCTACACTTAGGCGCCACAATCTAAGGTGCTTGACGGATTTCTAGTGCAACTTTACTTGGCCATACACTATGAACTTTAATGGGATCCACTCATTCTTATAATTGGTTGGTGATACTTTTATCATTGTCCAATTCATTTCAAAATGATACCTTGGCAAATGATCCCTAAGGCCAATTATTGGGAAACCAATACCAAACAGGTAAATAAAAAGTTCCAAATACACACAGATGATGATGTCGTATGCATTATGGTCAATTGTAGAAAGTGTATAAAAATCAAGCTATAAACCTTCTGATCAATGAGCAGAGGGTGCTGTTGCAGTGGTCTTCTTGAAATCAATCTTGTCAACCTTAACCTCTCCGTCAATAAGTTCATAAACATAGACCACCACACGCAGGCCATCGATGTCCATGAGAACAAAGCTAGGGTTGACATCGTAAGTGATGCTACTGTGTGCACCAGTGGCAGATCCTGGGTTTATAACCACTCCAGCCTCATGCTTGTAAGCCTTGAACTGATGGGTATGACCAGTCACAAGTATGTCTACATCTAGCTTCCTCTGAAGCATGGCCAATGAGTCCAGGTCCCCCCATGGTATAACCTTCATGAGAATAATAAACCAGACACAGATTGTTATGGCTGGATTAGATAACTTACACCAGATTTATAAAAGAGATTCCAACGTAGTGATGAAAAACTAGGGCAATCCTTGAAAAAATAAAAGCTTATGGTGTATTGAAAGCTGTAAATGAAGGGAAAAACAGATGAAAACAAACTTTTTCTTTTCAATAATGTTACATTTGCACTCAAACCCCAAGAAATGTCCTAACTGTTCTTTGCTCAACTGGTCCATTACTCTTTTCCTTCAACTATACTGTTCCTATAAAAAGATCAGAAGACATTAATCAAAGCACTTAACCTAAGGCAAAATTTAATGAGGTAGCCACATTACCAGCCACGCTCCCCCCCCCCCCCCCCAACCACAACAAAAAAAAAGCATAATAAAAGGGGTTGAAGTGGAGAAAGAGTGCTGCTAGGTCAGAGACACGGTAATCTCTTATAATTATGCTACCGTGTAATAACTATCTTATTTACCCAAAAAATTAAAATTATTAGAGTAGTTCTGCAACGAACAGGCTATGAACCAGTCATTGGCACATCATTTAAAAGAATGGCCTTCAAAAAGTGAAACACCACTAGCAAACATAAATTTTGGGATAAGGCTAAGTTCAGCAAGGAACAAAGTATCAACCGAGAGAGGTAAACCTGGTGACCATGGCATATTCCAAGCTTGAATTGACCAATGGTTAGTGTTTTGGTCTCTGGGTAACGTGTCTCTTCATCGTATTCACCTTGAGTGATATGCAGGTCAGGACAAACAGTCCTCAAGTAATCATGAACCTCCTACAAAACATAAAAAGAATGCAACAAATCAGCTTTTACATGTCAGATGTGAATTGAAAAAAACATATATTAAGATGAAATTTGGACACTTCACAAGTAATGAAAATCATAACCTAAATACATCAAAACAGAGGAGTAAGATAACATATTGCACTAATGAAACTGGTCAAAACAATATATTTGTTCACAGAAGATATTAGCTTCGGAATACATCACCATTGGGCATTAAATGAAGCAATATCACCACACCGCGAACGACAAACAAACTCAAGCATCTGGAAGGGACCACTTACAGGTAAGTAGTCCAATCAGTCAAAATTACGACAGCAATATGCTGCATTTCACATGACTGAACTTAGAAGCTGGACATTTAAGTCAAGGCACACGCATTCAATTCAATGCCCGCAGAAATTCTAAAACTAAGTGAGGTGAAGATGAAAGAGGATATCAAATATATGATTTGCAAGAATGAAGGTTGAAGTGGTGAACATAAAACAGAAAGGAGCCAAAGATATATGACGAACACTGTCAAACAGTGCCCCATCGTATATTATTCTCCATTTTGTCACATCATTTAAAGGGAATATCAAAGTAGCAAAAACCATTGCAAACTGAGCATACAGATTGACAACAGATTTCTAAAGCCAAGGCATCAACAAGATGATATCATGCATGTCATATTTACAGATTGTGTTGTGGAACAATATTTATACAACTATGTGTACATTCATTGGAGAATTAGTTCCATCAAAGAGAACCTAGGTGGAACACAATCAATGGTGAAGAATAAGCACCATGTAGGGTAGTATACACACAGCACACAGGTAAAGTAGGCTCAAATCTGACAAAGACACAGTTTAAGTAGTCTGAAAGAGTGAGTTCATCAGCAAATAGGGAAAGCAAAGATGGGTTTACAAATATTATGACAAACAAAGTTTTTTCAATGGATCTATCAACTATTCTAAGTTATGTTATAAAACTGAAGGTCATGCTACATGGACATGGACTTTCAAACCAAATTTAACATATTTTATGAATCTATCAACTGTTATAACTTGATTCTTCCTGTTTTTAATCTTAGTGCTCAAGACAAGTTGGACAGTCCCCCAAGTGACTGAGAAGTCTGCAAACATGGTCAAATGAATAAATACACATGTACAAATTTAGATTACATATTCTCTTTAGGGAGTGTCAGACAAGACTGTAAGTACCTAAGGAGTGTAAATATCTGGCACAACTATGATATGGACCCATTATAAGTTTCTGTAGTTCAGAGGAGCAGCCTTATCCTATTATCTTCCTCCTTTCCAACTGTTCTTTTGTAATTCACTCGTTACAACATACCCTAAACTTAAAGACGATCACTATTGCTACAGAAGTTCAAAAGGAACTGCATAGAGTGACAAAGGACAAGAGAAACAAATGCATGGATATCACTACGCTGTTTCTCTTAAAAGAACAAATGATGCCAAAGCTACTAGGCACAACCACAATGTTCAAGTGAAATGTTGATTAGCTGCAGTACATGGCCAGAGAGGTAAAACAGACCCACTTCTAAAATCCCATTCATTGTACCATTTCACTCCAATCCTTTCATTTTAGCCTCATTTTTGGAAAACATTACCTTTCGCTGCCTCCCCCTTTTTTATTTTATAAAAGAGCTCCTTGTGGCGAGAATGGGAAGAGGAGTTTCATCCTTATCTCTTCAGTTTCCAAAGCCTACTTAAAATTGGAGTAAACGAACAATAATATGTTTCCTTATTAATATCCCATGAATTCGTGTATAGCGTACTGCAAGTCATATGCGAGTGGCTTTCTAACAAATTGTAAGTTCTTGAGATCAAGAAGAAACATTTTCCGAATTGTGAAAGCATTTTGTAACAACTTCATCTGTAGTTTCCTATCCCAATATATCCATGCAAATAATAGGAACCAACCAAGGACCAATAATAATATCACATGGAAGTCACCACTTCATTCCCATTGCAAACCAATGGAGAGGAAGAAAAAGAAATCACAGTAATTACAATCCTCAAGATCTAAACTGTAAATCCCTGCAACTCTCAACTTTTATCCATTTTTGGATCCCACATGGATTGGTAATATTGAAGATATCAAGTCAACTATGACTAAACCAACAAGTAACAGATTCCATATTTTCCTCAAATGATGGGCAGATTAAATAGCTCCAAGCATGGTTGGGTTCGTAAGTTAGAATCCATTTCACTGCTATAATTAGCACCTTACATAGTTTGCTCCCAGAACCCTCACCCTTGATTAACAGGGATCAGACTAGGTAATGATCCTTTTAATTAGTACTCAACATAGTTTGCTCTGTAAACGAAGCCAACAATAATGGTTGATCTTAGTAGAGAATTAGAACCTATATCATTCCTTTCTTTTTTTCTTTATTAACTCTGCCTTGTTTCAGGAACAAGTAAGTTCAAAACTCAACATAGTGCTCTGTGCAATTCAATGCTTTCATTTTCATAAATTTACTTTAAACCCACAACAGAAAGCTACGAAGAGACCTTTACAAAGATTCAAGAAAGACCCATAATTCTTCCACAAAATTTAGACATCCCCAAACAAATAGAGCAATTGAAAGAGAAGAGAGGACAAAAGTAACCCATTAAACACATATAGCAATATAATTAAGCACACTCACCTTGATACAAAGGTTTCCAGTGCAAATGATGTGCTGGATCTTCCCAGGAACAAGCATGGATTTGAACTTAGGTGGCAGATCAGGTGCCCTATGTGGTATGTGAAGATCGCCTAAGGCCAATACCAGCACCATCCTCCTTTAGATCAGCCCAACGTTCACAAAATTATTACACAGCCCAAAATCTGCAACACCCATAAGATTAATAACCACACACAGCAATCTCAAAACTCGTAGTCAAATCGAACTTCAATATCGAACCCAAAATTCCAAATCAACCAGATCATCTCAAGCTTCAATACATGTATGTAGACAATTATATCATAAAAATATGTATGTGGTGATGTCAAAATGAAGGTTTGTGGACAAACCTAAAATTTTTGCACAGTCATAAGCCCATGAAGAATTCTCTCTCTCTCTCTCTCTCCCCGTCGCTGACGTTCGCTCAGGTTATTCTCTCTTCACATTCGCCGAGAATCGAGAGACTACACAGAGAAACTTTAGTACACTACCCAAATAACCCTTAAATTATGACATTTATGTGAATTATTAAGTATTTGAATCAATCGAAAGCCTAAAACCTAAATCTCCTTTATACCATTTTTTTTATACCAAAATGAAAAGCTTACTAATTTACTTCATTTAATTGGTATGAAATAGATTTAAGATTATGATTTTAATTCATGAATACAAGGAATGAGGTTCTTCATTTGATAGGTTTCGAACTAACAGTTCTTAATTTGTTGTTTATGTGGTAAACACACGAGACATTCCGTCTAAAAACTTAAAGATTGTTAACATACGGACTTAATTGCTAAAATTTTAAAGTTTAAAGATTTAATTGATACAAAAATTAATTCATAAGCTTAATTGCTAAGATTTTTAAATTTAAGAACTCGGTTGAGACTTAATTGACGAAAGAGTCTTAGTTTAAAGGATATTTGTGTTGTTTACTCGGGAAACATTTATCAAAAATTGGGCAAGTACGATGTCCATTTTAATTAGAGAGGTTTTGTGGCGACATATGATCGTCGATAAAACTAATATTGAAATTACGTAGATTCAAGAAGTTTGCAAGATTCTCCCTCTTAAGAGGAAGAACAAGAAAAAAAAAAACATTTAGTTGGAATATGACTTGATCTCGCAATAGTGCCATAGTGCAAAACATTTGAATATGAAATGGAAAAACATTTGCTATATAGACTAACCTTTAGGAGAAAAAACATGTGATAAGAATGTGACTCAATCCCACAATACGTTTCTTTGAAGCACTAGACGAGGGTGCAGGGCAGAGTTAAAAATTTTGCTTATAATTAGTATTTTAAATATGCATTCTAATTTTTTTTTCTAACTAATCATGCTATATAATATATTTATATTTATTATATCATATTTGATGCATGAAGTTCATTTAACATAAAAAAAGGCCAAAATATATATATATATATATATATATATATATTGTATATGTACAAAAAATGACTAATTATCACCATCATAAAAAATAGAGTTAATTGTCATTTTTATAATTAAAAAATATCAGTTATTCACTAACAATCCACTAAATTTATTCAATAAATGATGTTCTAAACACACTGAGATATTAATATAGTAAACTGCTAAACTAAAATTTAAGAGCTAAACATAGTAAAACAAGTTTAAAATCAATTGATACATAGTAAAGACTAATGATGCACAAAATGACTTTGCACACCATTTGTTGAGTGTGAGTAATGAATGCAATAATTAATTAGTAAAGAGAGAATGCAAGAATTATAGTGGTTCGGTCAGAGTGACCTACGTCCACTCTTGAATGGCTTCGGTCGCTGGGTACTTTATTAACTCAAGGATGTAGAGATCAGAGAGTAAAAGTTTGGAAGAAGAGGAGAGAATCGTGCTCAAGTAAAAGTGTGATGATGCCCCCTGAGTGTTGGTGGGGACGTACAATTTATAATGGCCCCCTAACGGGTTATGATTACTTTACAACAACTATTTTAGTGGAGCTCACGACTTCCTCTCAACGGGCGAGGTGGTTGAGGCGCTTTCCATGAGATGCGGTCAAAAGATGAGGTGAGAATGGACTGTT